CCTTCCCACTCCACAGCCATTCCCTTCCCACTCCACAGCCATTCCCTTCCCACTCCACAGCCATTCCCTTCCCACTCCACAGCCATTCCCTTCCCACTCCACAGCCATTCCCTCCCCACTCCACAGCCATTCCCTTCCCACTCCACAGCCATTCCCTTCCCACTCCACAGCCATTCCCTTCCCACTCCACAGCCATTCCCTACCCACTCCACAGCCATTCCCTTCCCGCTCCACAGGCATTCCCTTCCCACTCCACAGCCACCAATAGGGCAGCAGTTTGCACAATGGAGAGATGTTCCTCTTTGTGCCAGGAGGTGGAATTTAATGCTGTGCTGGAGGTGGTTCATGCCCCTTCAGGAGGATGATGATCTCCTTAGATTTGAATGAGGCAAGGCAGATAAAAATCAGCTACTCTTTGCTGTAGTTATTAAAATACAAGGCTGAAGTAGGTGTTACCAAGAATTAAAATAGCACTAATGGGGTTAGTGTCCTTGAAAGCTGTCGAAAATGGGCTGATTTCCTGCAATTTTACTTATTTTGTAACGGCATGCTTCAGATTCGTATCATCAGCCAGTCTGATTTGAAATGAAGTCAGCAATTGTATGTATCTAAAATGCAATGAGTTAAATATTTAATGAACTGGCCCCTTTAATATCTGCACTAGGTTTTAATTTAAAAGCATTAGCATCTTTGGGCACTGCAGAGGAGCAGCTTTGTTTGAAATCATATTCATGGAGTAGAGGGAAATGACTGGCAAAAAATCCTTTTAATGCAGCACTGAGCAAGTCCTGTTTAAGAAACCACTGAGCAGACATCTCGGGGTAAAAGCATTTACAAATCTCAGGTGCWTTCTAACCCATCTGTTTGCATTGTATCGATGGCTGCTCCAGTATTTCCAAAGATAACAGCATGCAGCGGGATTTTCTCCCTATATCAGTGTACCACACTTCTAGAACAGGTTTCTCTTCCACACACACACATCTCTTTTAGGCAGCCYGATTCATGGAATACCCCCTGGGAGGTAACATTTCTCACATTTCAGCTGGAGCTGTCTTTGTTTTAAGGAAAACCCTTTTGCTGTCATTTCTGTGAAAACATAYAGAATAGAATCAATCACAAGGAACGTGAGGATGCAGGAAACCAGCCACCTCCCCTGTAAGGAGGAAATCCATTTTGTTTACTGAATCTTGGCTGGTTGTGTTAGCTTTGCTGTAAGATGGAGTGGTCATCAATTTTCCATTAGTGCACAGATGGTGAAAGTGCTTGTCTGATCGTGCAAGACAAGCTCCTCCGCGTTCAGTGGGATAAACCCYGCTCAGCCWAGAGAAAAATCATTCTGATTCCAAGAAGCTTTTTACAGGTTCGCAGCTTACAGGCATATTTGCTCTCAGTAATCAAGATAAACCTCAGAGAATGTTATAAAATGATACACACCTACCTCTTGTGTGAAAGGATGCTGAGAGAGCGCCGTTCTGGTCCCTTTTTTTAGTGCAGCCTATGGCACAGCAAAGATGGAGCTCTCCTTCCATTGGCCAGAGCACGATGCTGCTGACAACTTCCTTTGTGCTCATTTGCATCAAGCCCTCAACCCGTGGAGTAAATCATTCATAAATATGACTCTTACTGTCTGGAATAAGAWGCAAACCCCTCCCTGTTCTTGTTTTTTGGGATGCGATGAGCTCGTTAGCAGAGGAGCGCGCTGGGAGTGCGCATTGGCCACGACCCCGCTCTGCTTTGTGCTGGAATCAGCCATCAAACCATGACGTTTGAAGTGTTAATATCTGCAGATATCCAGCCTCACCGTGTGGTTCAATTCCCGCGTCATGAACTGTAGCAGGCAGGCTGCAGCCAGGCAGATTAAAYGAGATAATCTTCCTGATTCAATAGACAGAACAAAAATATGATAAGTTGTCTTAACTGTTCGTTGTACCTCGAGATTTATTTTGGTCACTTCAGACTTCTTGTTACATCTCTTAATTTTTTAATTTATTTATAATATGTCCTACATAGACATTAATTTTTAATGTTAAAAGGGAATCCTGCAGGGGAAAATCCCTACGGGCTGTATTTTCAGGGGGAGCTGCCTTTTGATTTTCCTCCTTTTACTGTCTTAATTTAGTAGCCAGAATAAAATACTCTTCTGTTGCTGGAGTTACACTGATTCTTCCATTTTAATTTAAGAATTGTGCTGTGTAAAGCCTCTAAGACAATGTCATATTACAGCTTTATGATTCTGTTCTTTTCTCTCCCTTAACTGACTTTTCCACAGAAATAATAGGAGCTGAGTGTCTCTGAGATAGCTGTTGTCCTGTTAAATGTGCTTAAAAATCACCAGTGGGTTAAATAATCCTCGTGGTGACAGAAAKATGATGTTCTTTTTCTGGAGTAGCTGAAATTCAAAAAAAAAMAAACTGTTGCCTTTAGGTTTGAGCAATGTTGTGCTGGTAATGAGCCTGTGGCTTGTGATAGTGGTTTGTGGATATTTGTGTTTAATGTGCTGTGCTAAGAGCTGACGTTAATGAAATGGTCGTTAATAACCTTGCAAGAATTTTTGAAACAGCATGATACCAAACCTCCTGGTAAAGACATCCAGATTTGACAACAAAGGGGATTCTGAGTTGTTGTTCCAGGGTGCAACACACTAGATTGAATTGGTTTGCATTTATATGGGTTTGTTTAATAAATTCTCCACTAGAATCACTTTAAACAATAAATAAAAAAAAAATTCACAGCCTTCCTTTACCTGCTGTGTAACTGCTGAATGCCTTTTGGAAGAAGGGAACTTTGCCTCCATCTCAGCAGCAGGAAGGTATCGGTGGAGCAAATGCAGTGCATTATTTCAGGGTGGATTAATGTAGTGTAAATGATTATGGGATGCTAAGCTACCAAATTAAACATGTTGTCTTACGGCAGTAAYGCTGCAGTCACCTGCTGCTTTCTTAACTTTTTGTTTGTGGAGCTCTGCTCAGAAGTGTTCCAGAGCTKTGTCCTCTGATTCCTTGGGTCTGGATCAAGATGTGTGCAAGGACAGAGTCCTGAGGGTGGCTGCTTCTGCCACTCCTGTTTCTGTCCATAGCTGTCATTTCAAAAGCTGCTGGAAGTAGAGTGAGAAAGTGATGGAGCTCGGAGCCAATGGGGAAATATTGAACCATCCTCTAATTGTTTATTTTTCTCCCTTTGTAGATCACAGCAATGGATCATTTAACTTGAAAGCCCTCTCAGGAGGCTCTGGCTACAAGTTTGGAGTCCTTGCTAAAATAGTGAATTATATGAAGGTATGGTGTTTGGTGTAAAATAATATTGTTTTTAAATGCTGTAATTATTTATTGTCCTGTGGTAGCTGGAAAACGCTGAATATTTCAAACTCTGAAATTCTTTTACTGCAAGAGTGAGAATTTCAAGAAACAGCTTGTTAAATTCCAAGTCTTGACAGTAATTTAAATTGTCAGCATATTGTTCCATAACTGTAATCCTAATGATCCCAGGTCACTTTACAACCAAGAAAATGGGGTTTATTTGCAGGAATTTCAAGATGCTGTCAGGTTTTGGGATTCGTGAGCTATTGATCAAAATAAAGTGTAATTTGGTGCCAATCTTAGTTACTTTTTTGATAATTGAGTTGCTGAATAAAGTGAGTACAGAACTCTAATAGATCCTGTTTGCTTTTGCAGACTCGGCACCAGCGTGGTGATACACATCCATTAACCCTGGAAGAGATACTTGATGAAACACAGCATTTAGATATTGGACTCAAACAGAAACAATGGTTAATGAGCGAGGTAAAGAAAACTTAAGTTCAGATTTCCATTAAAGATAAAGAATTATGTTAAACCTGAATTAAACACATTTATTAAATTATTAGATATGTAATACTTCCCTCAAGAAACTACTAATACAGACTGTAGCATCCCTTTTCTGCCAGCACCAATATTCTGTGGAACAGAAACTTCCACTCTGGCAGTGTTGGTTGTGAGGGRAGTTTGACTTTGCTGGAGTCTTTTAAAAGGTAGTTCCAGTTTATTCCATAATGAATTCCATAATATTAAAATGGAGTGGAAGAGCTCCTCCCAAGAAGAGTGTATGAAATTTCTGGTGAAAGCTCAGTGATAAAGGTGAACCTGCAGTGCCAAAATTGGGTCCCTTCTCTTTTTGAGGTGCTCTGTGTTGTGGTGAATTATACCTAGGCTGGTGGATCTAAAATCCAAGGATTTAAAATCCTTTAAACTCAAACCTCCAGCCTGGCAGCTGTAACATGTGGTTCATGTGCTTAAAAGCACACCAGAAAAAATGTAGTAAATGTCTGTACTTTCTCAAGGTTTGAAGTTTCTGTCCCTGTTAACAGGCTCTAGTCAACAATCCGAAAATAGAAGTTGTGGATGGGAAGTATGCTTTCAAACCCAAGTACAACTTGAAAGACAAAAAGGCTCTGCTCAGGCTCTTGGACAAGCATGACCAGCGAGGRCTGGGAGGAATCCTTCTGGAAGACATTGAGGAAGGGCTGCCCAATGCACAGAAAGCTATAAAGGTGAGGGGCACGTGTCTCCAGTTCACTTCTCAGAGGGAAGAGAGAGGCTAAGAGAGAGCTTTCTCATGGGTTGTTTCTGTTCTTTTGGTAACTTGGAAGCTATTTCAGCAGATCTAATACTGTGGCCTTTTCTGTATGTCATCCTTTATGTTCAGATTTGTCCTCCTGAGCTCCCATATTGCAACTCAAGGCATTTAGTTCTGCTTTCACACCTTGACCTCAGTCCTCTGGATTTCATCTTTGATTTATTAGTGTGCTCATGTGTTTCATGGCCAGTTACTTTGCACCTTCTCCAATTTGTTGTTGTTTGTAGCACAAAGTCTGGGTCTGTTGTAGTTGGAGCTCTTCTGCTTGGAAACGAAGTGATTTTGAGTTGTTCTTTTGTATTTGTTTTTGAGGCTTTAGGGGACCAGATCATCTTTGTTAATCGCCCTGATAAGAAGAAAATTCTTTTCTACAATGACAAGAGCTGTCACTTTGCTGTGGATGAAGGTAGGTGTTGGTTTACATGGCWTTCCACGACAGTTGATTTGAATTCATCTTAAGCACTTTTATGTTTAAGCATTCTTCAGGTAGAGAAGTTTTTTAAGGTGATAATGAAATATTAAGTGTGTCCAGATGTGAGGGGAATGTTTATATTAACATGAAGCTGATGAGATCAGTGGGTGAACCCTCTGCATTATGATGGATGCATTGGAACATGGCACCAGGAATCCAGCAGTTGTCTTCAAGAGACGAAAAGAGACAAAAAGAGACTAAAAACCACCTCACTTTGAYTCAAATGGCATCTAACATTTTGCTGTGTAAAGGACAGCCAAAAAAACCCAAAAGATTCGCTTGTGGGTGCAACATTTTTGTTGGGATTTTTTTTCCAGTTTATTAACCATGCGCCTTTTATTGGTGAATGTAGCAAGAAGCCACAAATGGAACAGAAGGAGGAAGCACAGAGAGCTGAGATGTGAGCAAAATTCATGAGAAGGTGGTGGTTACAACTGGGAGGAGAGCACAGATGTGGGGTGCTGCTGCCCAGGGCTGGAGTGGATTTGGTGCTTCACAYGTTCAGCATGTTTTCTGTGTCACAAATAGTGGTAAAATCCTCTGRAGCAATTTTATGCACTTGTTTATGCACARAAATTAATTACAGAAATCAGGGTGYRTTCCARTAATAAYATTAATGCCARCATCAGRTGCCTGTAAATGCACAAAGGGGGAGGCAGTCTGTGTCAGATTTAAACGASTCARTGACACTGAACACTTTCTTTTGTTAATGTATTGTTCTTGTAACATGACACATAAAGCCATTGCTTCACACAACCATCACATTATGGTAAAAAAAAAAAAAGAGTTTTAATACAAACTTGGACTGCATTACTTATATAGGAGAATTCATAAAGCTCTTTCCTGCTTTTCCTGTCTCCACAGGAATCTTAATTTCCTACAGAAACTAGCAACTGGAGATGTGTATCATTAATTGTTGTGTAGCACACTTATACTCTTAGCTTTCTTTCACAAAGATAATTAATTAAAGGTGACATCTATAGCATTTAAAAATATTAAAAGTATATCAAAAGATTGAGGTGAATTTCTTTTGAAATAATCATTTCTGTAGTTTATTGACAGCATCAGTAAAACTATATATGAAATGCAGAATGCATTTAGTGGGGAATTTCTGATTCCCACATGTTCAGGAGTTTACCATGAACACGGTCATCCTGTTGAGGCACTGCCTCTTCAGTCCCTCAGTCCACAGCTTTTGGGGATCTGAACATGGCCAAAACATTCAGAAATCTGTGCTCTTGCAGTAACTGTTAGCACAGAGATTTTAAGTTTTAGCTGCTGGTTGTATCATAATCATGGTTGCTAAATGAATGTTTCTTCTTGTGCAATTTTTTCCAGATAGCAGGAACCCAATCATCCTAAAAGAATTATCAGAGGGAGGTCTCTTCCCTGTTGCTATCAGTTTGTAGTAACCCCAGGATTAACTGTGAAATGRAAGAGCCCATTTTGTTAAGAGACAGAGGCATCAGGATAAATCCAGGGCTATTCATGGCACACCCGTGTGTGCTATGGAACAAGCAGTGCAAGTTATTGGGAGAGGAAGAGGTTAAAAATCTCTAAAATGCTTTGCTTCTTGGTGARGGAAGGCATTAAAGCTTTCAGCCTGTGTCCTGAAGGGATCCAGYGTGCAGCGTTTGTAGTTCAAGGTGCCTCTGCTTCCTTTTATCCGCAGGTGGCAGCAGCTTCCCATCTGATGGAGAAGTGATGTGTTGTTGTTGCTCTGTTCCTGCTGTTTYGGCTTTCCTTTTGATGCTTTGTTCTGAGAGGGGGCAGGAATACTTTCTCTTTTGTGAATATTGTGATCCACCTTCATATGCCGCAGTGCTGAAAACATCCCTGAGTAGGTTCACTCACTTRCTGCAGTGGAGCAGGTCCTTTTTCCAGCCATATTATCCTGTGCTGAAGGATCCTTCAGCATCCTTCCTGAGCAGCTTTGCTTTAGGATTCTTTCCAGAGCAGCAGAAGGGTGTCTCTTAGGGAGTCACTGGCAGAATTGTCTGTGTGCAGGATGAGTTATGACACRTCTCTGCCTTAGCAATGCTATTGCAGCTCATTATCTCCAACAACGTTAAAATGAAGTTTTTAAAAGACTGCAAAATAAGCCTTGAAGTGTTGGCAGACGCTTTGATCTAGCAGCTGATGACAGTTCAAAATATGTTTCTAGTTTAATGTTTATCCTCAGAAATAAGGTCTCTGTGCTCCTCGGTGCTCGGTGCTGCCATATGACATCCCAGTTCAGAACATATGTTGGCTGATCCTTGGAAAGTCGGGGTGTCCTGTCCCACTGCTGCCTGAGCTCCATCAGCAGGGAAAGAGGAGCTGCCAGGGCAATTTGGAGCTCGTTGTCTGGAGCGGTGGGAGGACCTGCTTTCTGGCAGTGCCTGCCTCTGCCCTTGATGGCTGAACAAGCTTTTCTTTCTCCCTCTGTGAAAATAAATCCCAATGTATCGCAGCAACGGAGCGCTGCCTATATATCGTGATCTCAAGGGTACTGGAGAAGGTTTTAGCAGTAAGGAACGGCTTTTGTTCTTCCTTTTATGTGATTAGCCAAGGAAGGTTCAKATTGCATGTGTTCCTTCTGGACTTCCTGGCTAATTAATCTACTGTCAGTGGTGTGGAGCTGAAAGTGTTTATAAAAGCAGGGCCAGATTTCAGGTGCTTCAGCCAAGTCAAGTGCTGCCTTTTTGTGCTGGGGCGAAGCACTTTGCATGTGAACAAGGCTTTCACCCCTGTGCTGAATGCTGAAAGGCCAGTTTGATTGCCTAACTGCTAGAGATGGTATCTTTCCCAGCTGAATGCACTATAGGAAGTATTTTAATGCTAAAAAATTCTGATACTAAATTATACCTTTTTTTTTTTTTGTTTTTTCCTAAGCGCCTTTGAAGGGCTTTAGAGAATCGCCAAAGCCTTTGAAATTTAACACTATAAAAATTGCTTGGGATCAGTGCTGACTTACTGCTCTGGTGGTACAGGGACAGCACAGATTTAACATCAAGCACCTTTTCCTTCTGGTATAAATSCAGTGCTGTGTTCCCTGGGACTGTTAAGACTGTTGTTTCTTCCCTTCTGTACTGTTATTGTCTTTTCTTGTCCTGCGCTCAGCTTTTGGCATGGCTCAGTGAAGATTTTTAAGCTGTTTTTAATCTCTGGCAGATTTTATTAGCTGTGTGATGTATCAGTTTATCTCCACAGCCATCTCAACCTTTCTGCAAGAGCAGGTGAGRCAGTCAGAAGTGCTGGATAAGCCTCTCCAAAGTCACCAGGCAGTCATTTACCCATGACTTCATTCCCCAAATGTAAGCATTTATTGAAAGGAAGTGTGTTAGAATATAATCACTCAGAGAATGTCACTGCAAATTGTTTTTATCTATGAGGCACCTCGTGATGCTGTAAAATCAAGGTAATTGTGCATCCTTACCCCTTGGGTRTTTCAGAGAGAGGTGTTTGCGAGATCTTTGTTATGTTGCCCTCTGCTTAACTCTCTGTTGGTCCCTGCTGGTCAGAGCTCATTGTTTTGAGTCTGTGCACGCAGGCTCCATGTTGCTGGAGATGTCAGCAAACATCTCAACTGGCTTTTCAGACAGCTCCTGATCTCATTTCCTCCTCTCAGTACTCGAAAAACCAGAATTCAGCTCTGGTGGAGCAAGGAAGCAGCCTGTGAGTCATGTTGACTCTGACCAGTTTCTGAGTTAAAATGTTTCAGTGATCAGATTGCAAGATATTGTGTATAGGATTTGTTCGTGACACTTGCCTCAGTACTGGGATCACAGCTTTCTGCCTCTCCTCAGGAAGATGTGCATTGAATCAGGACTTGAAAGCTCTGTGGAAAATGCAAATCTGTGGGAGGGTTCAAAGCACCTGCRTGGCTTTGACCAGAAACTCTTGGGAAATGTCTCCCCAGGGGATTTTTTCTGGGCTGTGTCTTGTCAAAGCAGTCTAAGCCGTGCAGAGATTGTCAGCTTGCCTCAATGCAGCCCGCTGCGGTCAGGTGAAGCTTTTCTGTCTTTTTATCTTCCCATAGCCGTTATATTTTTATTCTGGCTGATGTATAAAATAATTTAGTGGCTCTGAGAGAAGAGTCTGTCACCTTGGCTGTGCTGTGATGGTGTAAAGATCACCCAGCAGTGAACAGGACACGGWGGAGGAAAACTGAATGTGCTCTGTAATCATAATGGCTACAGGCACTGCAGGAGTGCGTGCATCCCAACCTGYTCTCCATGGCTGGCTGGAGCAGGCCAGCATGTGGGGAGCTTCCAGCTCCAACCATCCCCTTCCCAGTCCTGACACCAACAGCGAGCTCCTTGTGCCCTGTCCACAGAGAAAAGAAAGACATTGTGAAAAATTGAACTGGTGTATTGAAACCTTCCCCATCAGCTGCCTTGTGCCTCTGTCATCAGCTTTTCAGACGCCCTGCAAAGGCCAGAGTGACTGCATTTCCAATTCTTCTCAAGGAAATAAGGAAAAGTCTTTCCCTAAGTCAGGTCAAGGGTATAATTTCTGAGGTGCAGAAATACCACAGCTACAAATGCAGAGGGCTGTTTCTTGTGAGCTGTTGTTATTGCCAGCTTTTCCCACAGGTTCTCATATTTCGATGGGGATGTTACAATAATTCAGAGAGTGTATTCACAAGGTCTAAACTTTCCCTAGCTGATAGGGGCATAGTCCTTGGAGACTTGAACCTGACAGGTAATGTGTAAAGGGTTCAGTGCCAGCCATCCACTCCTCTCTTTCCTCAGACCTTGCATTTAGTCTGGTGTTACACCAAGTCAGTTTTGTGATGAGATGACGGATGGATCTCCCTTTCCTTTTAGAAGACACCCTAAGTGCAGACAGCTYGTCTTCACTGAAGGGTGGCAGCTCCCTGTGCTTTTCCACCTTTGTCGTGTACTTTTAGTTCCAAATCAGTCCTTCAATATGGAGTGTGTCCATGTTGTGGCTCCCTCCTTCCTGGGCAGTGAAGTATTTTAAAGCCCTACATGGAGTCCMGCATGGGTAGAAGATTCTTTTGCAATCAAAGCAGTAGTGCTGAAAGCAACCTGATTTATGGAGGAGTTTTTAAATGGAGTTGCAGAATATGATCCAGTGACTCTGGTGGGGCCAATTAGCGGATTAAATTATCTGTATGTAAAGTCCATTTTAGCTCAGCAGTTTTGGATCTTGGTGCCTGTTCCATTTGTATTTCTTGGCCAGGTTTAAAAGGTGGYTGTGAAGCTGGAGTGATGTTATAACCGTGGCACTACAAGAAATGCAGAACACTGTAGTTAGATATTAACTGTGATCTGCACTTCTGTGCATGCTGATCCCTGAAGAGCTGACCGTTTATTTTCTAGTGTTTAATTTTTCACTTCTGTTCCCCAGAAGAATGTAGACCGGTTTAACCTTAAGCACCTATTCTTTTTTTTTTGCACCAGGGCATACTTGTCCGTATATCCTGAACTTTAATGAGGTGACACATCATCTGTGTTCATAGCAGGATATTATAAATAAGAGGACAAACTTTCTCCACCTGCTGCAGCAGGATGAGGTGAAGGGTGATCTGTGAGAGCAGGCACTGCCAGCAATGCCAAAAGCCTGGAATCCCCYTCAAAATGGATGAGCAGATGGGGAATGTCTTGCCTGGAGTGTCAGTCCTTGCATTAAGGGATCTGCATGCTGATCCTGGGGTGCTGGATAGTCTCTGTGAGAAGCAGGCTGAGAGCTATCTCCYTGTAACCAAAGGTGGTGTTTTGACAGGATTTGGTTCTCTTCAAAACCACTGCATTACCAAAAATTAACACTGTCATACTTCACCGGTGAAGTTCCTTGCCTTTGTTTCCTGGAAAGCTTGGACAGCCTCTTACTGTTGGCAACAGGAAGAAGAGAAACACCTGAGATTCRAAGCATGTATTTGCATAGAAAAACAAGGTGCCTTAGGTAGGGAATYATTCCAAGTGCAGGAACTGAGTTGTTTTCGTACACTCCCATTGCAGTGTGCCCTGGGCTGGGATATCCGTGGCAAACTGGTACTGGAGCATCTCATCCCCTGCTCCACAGGACAGATCCTTAAGCATGCAGAGGTTGTGGTTGTTTTGACAACTGTATACTAAATTTATCTGGAAATAAAAGGAAAAATTTAGTCTTGTGTTGCTATGTGTGCCTCGTGTTTTATTTATAGTTTGTTAGCCMGACCTGCTGACAGGATGTATCTTAACTCCCTGCCTGGGGAATGAAGGGAGGTAGGATCGTACCAGCCGCTGCCTGGAGAAGGCATTCCAGAGGCTCTGTGAAACTTTACGTGAGGCAGAAAGTGTGCAGGCAGATGGCAGTTGCTCTAATTAAGACTTACTGTCTCTGTCTGTTTTCCTGCTGCTGTGGTTTTTAAGGTGTCTCTCTTCTTTTTAACACCAGAGGAATTTTAGTACTTTATTATCTGTACAGCACGATATGGATCATATTGCAGTGATAAACRAGCTCTGAGCCGCTGAATTAAATGTCTTGAACCTTCAGTAAATTAGACCACGGCATGACAAGTCAATGGCAAGCTGAAGATGTTTAAATGAAGTTCATGGTTGGTGATTGCCCTTSATCAGGACCCTTTTTTCAGGCCTACCCAGCTCTAGAGGTTCCAGGCAAAAAGAGACTCCCTTAGCAAATAAACATGAAAAGCACAGGTTGCCTCCGGGTGCTCCTTATGCTCRAAAGCAATTTAGCTTGAGGGTGTTTTGTTTTTGTTGTTTTGTTGGTTGGAGTGGCATCTTTTCGTGTTTTGGGTGTTTTTGGCAGTGCATCAGCATTTGGAGCGGGTAAAGGCTGTGCTGAGTGAGTGCCTGCTGGCGGTGACAGACTGACGTGCCAGAATGTTTCAGTGTTTGAAATCAAGTCTGTCTCCTTCCCTGCACGTGGGGTCTTTGCCCAGGGTTTGCTCACTGGGATATAAAACCAGGGTTTGTCGTTTCAGAATTCCAGAAGCTGTGGAGGAGCATTCCTGTGGATTCTATGGATGAGGAGAAGATAGAAGAATATCTGAAACGACAGGGTATTTCTTCCATGCAAGAAACCGGACCAAAGAAAATAGTAAGAGATACAAATTGCAATCTCCCTAGGAAATTCCCTCTTTCCTGACCCTGCAGTGTTAATTCCAAAACGTGTTGGTGAGCCTACGCATGACTTTGTGGAGTTTGGGGAAGTGTGACCACTTTAAAATAGTGGGTAAACCAAGTGCTGCAGCCAAGAGTCAGTGATTTTTGTAACTGGTTTGAGCCAGTGTGATTAATCCAAGCAGCTTCTAAAGAGGGCAAACGTCAGGAATCCCCGTGAGCTCCACAGTGGAATCTTCTGCTTGAAGCTGTACAATATGAGTAGCAGTATTTTGATAGAAAGGTGGGGTGTTTTTAACTTTCCTGCTAAATAGCTTTGARATCCTGATGGGATTGTGGGTAGAACTATGGGCATGCATCTGCTTCCATAGTGGCGTGGCAGGGTTTGGAACCTGCACTTACTACTGTGCCTGGGATACGGTGGCTCTGCTCTGTCCCCTGGGTCATCTCCCTGCCTGGACTGGAATTGGCTGCTGTTTCTCCTCCAGGAGCCAGCACCTCCCTTCCCTGCCCACCCCTGATTCYGGCAGGGCTCATCTTTCGCAGCCGTGGTGACCAGCACGGTGTCACACCTCAGGTCAGATGTCACATATCTTATTCCTATTTGTTACTTCCTGCAGGCTCCCATTCAGAGGAGGAAGAAACCTGCCTCTCAGAAGAAACGCCGGTTTAAGACTCACAATGACCACTTGGTTGGAGTACTAAAAGATTACTCTGATGTGGTTCCTGGCAAGCAGTGAGCGGTTGAATTCTGGAGCAAACGCGCCTTTCTAGACGGGCTTTCTGCTGCTGGGGCTCGGCGTCTGCTCACAGAAGGACTGACTGTATATAATAATGTGATGTGTTTCCCCCACCCCAGCAACTGCCGGTGAAACAGGTCAGTTTAAGAGCAAGTATGAGCTACTAAATTTAGAGGTTAATTTAATTAGCTAATGGGAAACGTGTCTTTGAGTAAGAGGTTCTCACTAGTTGCCTGTTGGCATAGGGTGATAAATGGTGCTCAGCATGTAATGCAGGAATTCCTGCTCAGTGCTTAACTCTGCTTTTACATTGCTTAATGGGTATTTACCTGGAATTACTTACTTTCTAGTGGGGTTGAATACAGCATTTGTTTTACCTGTTTCAGGAAAACCTTTTCCTAAAATCACTGCAGGCAAAGTTTCTTTCACAGTCAAATACACCCACGGTTCGTATGCTGCTTCCTTGCCATGGGACTGAGCTTTACTGAAAGGCGGTGATATCTGAAACTCAAACTCAGAAAACCCCCTCTCCTGWAATCCCAGCAGGCTGTGGGATGGGATGCAGCCCGAGCTTCCYAATGTTAATCAGGAATTGCCCTCGGCAATCTCCTCACTGTTGTGGGTGCAAGTGTGTTGCAGGTTCTGCTCTGTGGACAGGAGGGGAAAAAAAGGACGGTGTAATATTGTTTTGGTTTTTTTTTTAAGTAATAAACTTACAATGCTGGTTTCCAGCGTTGCTTCCTTAAAGAATGAGAGAATCAGCAACTTTTGTGCTTGTTGTGTTTTCCTTTTCACAGAGGTAGAAGAATCTTTGCTGTATTTTTATCCTCTCAGTGACTTACTGTTCTGGGTTATGCTGTCATCTTTTTAATGACTGTTGGGAAGAGGGGAGGAACCACCTTAAATGCAAGCTCCCTGTAGCTGCTGATGTTCTGTGCAGCACAGCCTTACATGGAATGTGGCCAAATCGTGTCCTCTTGATAACTTATTTTTATGTTCCGAACCAGAGTCGGTCAATGCTGATCCTGTTTTCGTGGCACTGCAGGAGAGGAGCTGTTTCTCCTCTCTTTCAGGGTTAGGATCAAAGATGAAAGAGGTGCCTGCAGCTCCCCACTGACGGCAGGTCGCTGCTGCTTGAGCACAGGCTGTTGTCTTGCTTGATGCAGCCGGGGTCGAAGCTGAGGCCGTCGGATGTGGACACGTGAGCAGATGAAGAATGAGGCTTTGTTGCTGTCGCACTGAACAAGTTCTGTCAGCTTGGGGAAATATGCTTCTGTAAGTGCAGCATTTATCCTCCTGGTTTTAAAGGCTGCTCTTCTGAGAAACAGCGCTTCCAGCATTGCRCATGTCAGCCCTGTTTAAGGAGCTGCTAAATGCTGTTAGGAAGTTTCTTCTGTTATTTTATATATATATATATTTCATGGTTTTAAAATATATATATATAAAAGCATGCTGCTCCAGCTGGTTTTGAAACTGTTTTTCTTTCCTGTATCTTCCRGGTCAGCACAAACAATTCCTCTTGGAGCTTTTTAGTTTTTCATTACAGCTCTGGCTCAAAGTACCTACAGCACACTTGCAAAACTGTTCACCTCTCTTCTGTCACCTTCACTCAAGGAAAAAAATTCTCTTCCATCTGCTGCATTTTTGAGCAGTGATTTTTTGGTGGTGGTGTTTGGACAGCAGCAAAGCTCTGAGCTGCCTTTCCTACCTTTGGGGGGTTTCATGGAGTGACTTTCCAGTTATCTTACATAACATTGCCCTTTCTCTTTGAACCAGAGCTGGCTGTAAGGTAGGCTACCTGCTTTGTTTCTCTGCTCAAGTGATTAAGGTAATAGAGTCTGAGTCTAAAGAAAATGCTTCCAGCTATTTTGAAAGATTAGAAATATGTTAGGTCAAAAACAGGAGAGCAGGAAAGTGGCTGTGAGCTCTGTGTGCTGTGCTGTTCTAGTCAGGCTCCAGTGTTCAAAGGAACAAAAGGGTCCAGGTGGTGTCCAGTTGGAAATAGTGGGTTAGCTGATTTGTCTCACTGGTGGATGTCTTCTCCTCTGCAGTGGTAGCAGAAAGGGCATAAATAAATTTTGCAGTTTGTTAGAATAAAATCTCAAAAATAGCTGAAGGGAAACTCACATTGGTCTGTTAGAGATATCATGGACTATAGGTTAGCAGTGGGGAAGAAAACAAGTTCAGACAATAAGCACAGAATGGTAGAATCACAAACTGATCAGGYKTTTTGCTGAAGTTCAGCTATTAAAWACTTAAATCTCCTTCATCTTCCTCCAGGAAGAATGTATTGTATTCTGTATCTGGCAAGATGAGTCTCTCAGTGGCCAAAACCATCATGCCCTCAGCTTGCTTACTTTGGCAAAACCCTTCTTCCCTCAGGGTGGTGTTGCAAAGGGCAGCTGGGAGGCATCGTGCCCTGTCCTGAGAGCCTGGGCCATTATCCCATTTTACTTCTCCCTCCTTGGAAGCATCTGCTGCAAACCAGGAAGATGAGGGCACTTGGGCTAGAATGAAATATTTCAGATGGGAATGGTCCGTGGCAGGTACCTTGGTCTCATGCATTTCAGGAAGGTTCTTTGGCAAACCCATCTCAGTGCCATCTTTACCTGTCCCTACAAGTTAGAACTTGCTTCTTCCACTCTCCTGAGGCTCCTGTCCCACAAGGCCATTGTTCCCTCATCTTTAGGATTTGGTGTGTTGATCCTGACMWGGTTTTYCTTTTTTAAGGGACAAGTTGAGTARCCGGAGTGTKTCACATCTCTAAACATGGAGCTCTACTAACTTCTCTCCTAAAAGTTACACTAACTGAAGAGTTATTCCACCTCCTCCTCCATTATGGTGATCATTCTGGAAGGGGATGGAAAACAGCAGGATGGTGTATGGTTGAATGAAATAACTGACATAAGACGATGTGTACCGGAGCTAATCTATAATTCATCATGATCATTCCAGGCTTTTAGAAGGCAGAGGAGAGCAAGGCGAGGGAGCCCTGAGAAAGGGTAAGGAGGCTCTGCACGTGGCTGCAGCCAGCGAGGGCTGTCACTTCCGATGAGCACGGGTGGGCGGTGCCGGGCCACCAGGGAGAGCCACGCTCCAGGTACCTGCTGATGAGGAGGGGCTGCCTTTGCAGATGACTAGAAGCAACCGTGGTGCTGACATCTCATTATTTCCAGCTTTGTTGCTCGCTTTCGGGTCGTTGCTAATGTACCAGGCCCAAATTCCTKTGTGTGTTACTGCCTCGGGGGCCTCTGGCAGCTCCTGCTTCTGGGGGAAGGATGTCCAGTAGAGCCAGTGCTTGCTGTTGGCTGGTTTAGACTGGCAAGACTAAACACTGACAGCCATCAGGGAGAGGAGAGCTTGGATCTCAGTGCTGGCTTCCTGCTGCTGGCAAGGTCAGGGATGTGGCAAATCAGGTGGTTTGGGATTCAATCTCCTGAGGGAAAGAGGGTCTGCTCTGGCACTGTTCCTCAGCTCTGTCCTTGGGCTCTGTGGGTGTGTTCTGAGCGTGTCGGTGCTGTCAGCGCTGCGCAGGCTCTCTGGACACATCCCYGTAGAGCAGATTGGCATCTCCCCAGAAGACAGTGCTTGCCTGGACACAGCAGGGCTCCCTGGTGTAACTGGAGCTGTTCTCTTCCCAAATGAGGTGACCGCAGCCTGCTCCAGCGAGGGCCAGCAGAGCAAGGGAAGCTGTTTGCTCTCTGCTCAGCACTAGGGAGCTCACACCTGGACACTGTGTCCAGTTTAGGCCTCCCACTCTATTCAATCCCCCCTCCATCCCCAGGGATGCAGACTGGAGGCCTGGGACTGCTCGGTGTGTTGAGCAGGTGGCTGGGGATGTATCTAATCACAAGGTACAGTGATGTGAAGGACAGTAAGGAGGATGATGTGGTCAAACTCTTTTGGCAGCCATGGCAGATGACATAATAGGAGAATGTGGGAAGTTTGGCTTGATATTAGGAAAAAACCAGCTGGTGGGGAGATGTCTTCATCCGTGGAGGGTTCAAGCATTGCCCAGACAAGACCATGTTTCTCAGAGGCAACAGTCCTGTTGTGAGAGGGAGGTTGGATCAGAGACCTCCTGCAGCCCCTTCTATCCATGTGCTCATGTGGGTCTGAGCCCTGGTTCCTTCCGTGCCTCCTGGTGTGCTGTRAGAGCAGTTCTTGTCTCCCTGGCTTGCTTTCTGCTGCTTTGGCTTGCAGTGGCCTCTGTGTTACTCAACAGCCCAGAAAAACAGCCATGACTCTGAAAACCCATCCGTGCTTCTGTGGCTGGGATTCACGTGTTGAGCTGCACCGGCCTCGTGGGTTGGACATTGTGCAGAGTATAAGCATAGCAGGGGAAAAGGATGGTTTAGGCAGGAGGTTGTCCTGCCATTAAGTTAATTTTTTGACTATATACCTGCACTTCTGGGCTTGCATCCAAGGCTTGAAGTACTTGTGCGGTTTCTTCCTGCCTCCATCAGTTTGSTTGTGTTCTCTATTCCCTCCTGAGCTGGTTATTAATTATGGAGACGGCAGAGATGAAGTCCAGACTCTGCTAATGGTTGACTTCCCAGTGTTTTAGAGGCAGCATTTCAGAGASCTGCTAATGGTATTTCTTAGCTTTGCTGTTTTAAGCTCTGCTGTCGTTCTTGGTTTGTACCCTGAGTGAGGCAGGTAGTGGTGCTTAAGTGTTGCCTGAAGCCTGGCTCTCAGGGCAGATCACAACTGCTCCCCTGCTCATCACCCTGGGTTGAAATGTCTTCCTTTTCACACTGGCAGGGAAAACAGAGCAGCTCTCAGGCAGTGCAGTCACCCTTGCAGGGTGTTGTCTCTCAATTTYCCCTTTAGGAATCAGGGAACAAATCCATGCTGAGCATTGCGCCGGGCCCCRACTGTCCTCACAAAGCCACCCAACCTCTTCACTCTCAGCTTCCCTCGCAGCCTGTCTCAGCCTTTAAAGCTGCCTGGCCAAACCCCAGTGCTCTCTCATCTGTCCTCTCCCAGCTTTGTTATTCCTTCTCCCCCCTCTCCCAGAAGCAGCGCTGGTCTCGCTCCTCCTCCCTGCCCCATCCGGGCTGCTGGTGCTGCCGGCCTCGGCGCCAGCTCTGCCTGCCCTTTGCTCTCCCTGGCCCAGCTTCACATCTCCATTCCTGCAGCARGATCCCCTCTCCCTGCTGCTGCCTGACCATCCACCCCAAATCCTGAGAGACAGCAGCTCTCCTTCTCCCACCKTGTTCCCATTTCTCTGCCGTTGGTTTGTGTCTGTCTGATGTGAGGAATCAGTGCTGTTTTTCTTGTATACCCTGCCAGGCTGTTCCCTTTGCAGCTGCTTCCAGCCTGCTGCTGGTCAGCCAGCCTCCGTGCAGGGATGCACAGGAGGGAGCTGCCTGCGTGCCCCCCTCCCTGAGCTTAACTTTATGTTAGGGGGATGGGAAGAGAGCGACTTGGGAAAGCGGAAACAATGAGATGCAAAATCTCGGTTTGGTTTTTCCAGCTCYGCCTGTTCATATCCCCTGGGACTTATCCTTGGTATTGGATGGCAGCACTGGCCTGGGAGTCCCTGATCCCGTTTTGCAATTCTCCAGTGTCAGCCAGCAACTTGGGCCTTCCTGTAAGTGCCCTGATGGTCACAGGGAAGGAATGYTCCCCCAGTCGCATGGGGAAAGGTCACCAAAGGCAAAGGCGATGCCGGGGCCAGGCAAGCAGCGTGCTGCTCCCACCTCTCACTGATGAGGGCAATGCTCATCAGCACAGAGACAAAAACGGCTGGTTTATAGGGGAAATTGAAAAAAAAGTGGTTCAAGAGGTTAAATATTTTGGGCAAGGCCCTGTTTCCTTTCGCAGGGCAGGTCTGGAGCAGCTGCAGTGCCCCGGCAAAGGCCAGGAGGATGTGTGCACGTTTCATCACACTCTTAGCTGGAGGACTAATCCTGCTGAATCCGCTCCTGAAAACATCTGTGTCTGCGTTAAAGTGGTGCTTGGGACAGAGGTTTTGGCCGGTTGCTGGTGCTGGGAGCAGCCCTTGGGCTGAGCAGCATGTTGTGGCTCCCTTCCCTTCCTCCCCTGTCCCTGCCAACAAACCTCTCCCCTGGATGCAACTCGGAAGGAAAGCTGTGACTCGCGGTGGCGGTGGCTGCAGTGGGATTAGCATCCAACATTAAGGGCTTAACTCATCCCTGCCAGCCAGGGGTTTCAAATAACTGCCGTGCCTTTTCCTTCCACCCTGGAGCTTGTAGCTTTTTTAATCCTGTCCTTTACACCCCGTTTTCCAGGCTGCCTTTGCTAAGCTGGAGCTTGCTCCTGGCACTTTGTTTTYGAGCTCCTGGGGGTGCTGCTCACATTTGTCGGGGTGGGGGCAGAGCAGAGAAAGATGAGGAATTTCTAGGTTGGGCTTACAAACCACCCGAGTTTTTCAAAATTCCCAGCGTGTTAAAAAAAATACAGAGCTAATCTGGCCCTTCGTCTCTAGGTTACATTTGCCTCAGCCGAGGCTGAGCTCATGGAAAATTGCATCCTAGCTCCTGTGCTCCCTGCCAAGATTAGTAGGTTTAAAAACTAACCGATAACATCTTTGTAAACTTGGAGTCATTTCTTTAAAGCCTGCTGATCCTTCCAGCCTGGATTTTGGAGCTTTCCTAGAGATCCAAGAGAGATGAGCAGGGTGATGGTATCTGCCCTGAAAAATCACCCAGGAGCCTCACCGTGCCTTCAGATATCCCGAGGGAGGAAAGAGGCTGATGTTTGCCAAGGCTCTGAAGTGTGTGGGATCCCTCTCCCTGTTCCTAACCAGATACACGGCACATGACGACGCTCTGCACGTAACTTATAATAATCACCGGTTTTATTTTTAAAAAATTACAATAGAAAAGTACCTTTAAACACATTTCCAAAAGCAGAGTAGACAATGTGGAAGCTTCTCTCCTCTCCATGAGACAAAGTACAGGAAATAGTTTGCTAAAAGAGTTAGTCCGTCGCTTGGGAACACTGGTATCATTCCTTTTAGAGCCGCTCTGAGGTTTGTCTTGGATTTGGTTTCTTCTCACATCACTTTTATCAGTTCCCATTTTTCACAGAAGACCCCAACGGGACAGTTCCTGATAGTGAAAAATCCCATTTTCTCGTCCCCCTGCTGCACCCCAACAGCCAGACTCTCAGCCATCTTATTTTGGCCCACCCACAGGACAAGAGGAAGGAGAAAGGAAAAGGTGATGATATTTAACAAGGCCATGGACGGCTGGGAAGAACCGGCTGTGGTGATGTCTGGGCAGCAGCTGAGCTCAGTGTTCTCTGCAGCTGGAAAGGAAACGGGGAAAGGCAGTGGAAGGAGAAGTTTCACACCTCCCTTTGCAAGAAACCGAAACCTGATAGAGGTTTTGGGTCAGTTTGTGTTGTTCTTTATCCAAATTCCTCCTGGAGCAAGGAGAAGGAGAACTAGTATGTCAAGTAGTCTCTCTGCTGGTACTCTATCTCTGTAAAGGATGCTGGCAGCCTCTCTTCATGTCTTTGCACAAGGAAACACGGGAATGCCACAGGGAGCAGCCGGACCAGCGTAACATCGACACTAAAACCTGTGGCSAGGCCAGGCCAGTGCTTCAGCATAATGGGAAGCCCCTCAGGATTCTTGTCCAACTTTGAGGAAGCTGTCAAACCAAGGATTTGTTGGTATTTTTTGTCATACAGCAGTTTATGTTGCCCGTAACAACTTGGAGCAGTCATGGCAGGAGGAAGAGGCAAATTGTCACCTTGCTACAAATGTGGGCTGTCCGCCCATCCCTGATCCGAGCCGTTGGACCCCACGGAAGCTTTGCACAGCAGCTATGAACACAGCCCCAAGGTAAAAAAACACCGGAAGAAAGTTCCTGATTGTCCTGCCTGCTTGTCATTGGGTGCAACTGGGAAGAAAACATGAATACTGTAGTGTCCACAGATGCCTTGCCAACGCAGCCAGAGCACAAACCCTGTGCCAGAGGGAGCACGATTCCGACAAACCCACATCATGTGTGTCAACTTGCACACGTATGTGAACATCATGCCTTTGACATGCAGCTGACGGGGCCAGGGGATAATAAGACTCTTCTTTACACATCTCAAAYGTCAAGCACAAAACCTGTGGTCCGACCTGGTGTAAGATTGTCCTCTTGAGGAGCTTTGGTACAAAAATACTTGCTCTTGTTTTGGTTTTTTTTCCTTAGTTTTTTTCTTTTTTTTTTCTGTAGTCTGCTTTCCTATGGTTCTGTTTGAAAAGTCTTTTCAAACATTACAACAATGCCTGTCAAACCATGCTTTCGGGAGTAACACACTCTTCCTTACAAATATACAGTGTAAAAGAGGAAAATATTATTACTAGGTATGTTTTTCTTTTTTCTTCTAGGAGAGCAGATGTGTGATAGAGGCTGTGGGAAAGTCTTGGAGGAATCCAAACTTGTGTGAGGGTTTTTTTCAAGCCTGAAACAACAAAGAGAGGTGTTAAAAAAAAAAAAAAGCAGCTTGATGGAGGAAAAAGGGCTGTGGTTAATCTCTCTTCCTTCATGGAAGGAAGCAACATAGGGGAGAGGGAGGCTTGTTTTGGAAAATCCATGACAGGACCACGCTCCAAGGACAGTTGTTTGGCAGGGAAAGGACAAGGTGGGRAATGCCTGCGGGGAGAGACCATAGCATCCCAGGCATGAAGAACCCCACTGATCCCCATCTGTTCCTTCCAGTGGCTGTAGCCCCCAGGGTTTGAACTGGGAAGCTGAGAGTTAAATTTGAATTTTGCACTTAGGAGGAATTCAGTCTCTGTTGATCCAAGGCAGGAAGCAAGGACGGAGATGAGATTACCGGGGGTAATTCAAAGCCGAGAGGCATTCCTTGGCTGTGGAAACTCTCACCCCAGATAACGGCGATAAAGGCAGCAATGGCAGAGCCGTGGTTCTCTGGCAGAGGCAGGAGCAGCCCCAGGGTCGTGTCGACCTCCAGGCCTGTTCCCTGCACGTTCCCTYGGGGAACTTGTGTTGGCTTCCTCACTCCTCTGCCCCCTTCCCAAAGCAGCCRAGCCACGGGGCCGTGTCCTTACCAGCACACTGTGGTCCTGTGGAGAGCACACCAACCCAGTAGCCGCCTTGGAAGACTCCAYTAATACCCACAAGACTGACTGTAGGCCACCATCACACACCTGAGACCTGCGGGAGGACACAGCAGAGGGTGAGGGACGTTGGCACTGGGAACTGAGGTCAGTGTGCTGTGGGGAGAGGTGATTTCACTGTGGCCAAAGTCGGCGCTTGCAGCTCGGTGGTGTTGGGCCAAAGATKGGGCTTGGTGATCTCAKGGGTCTTTTCCAACCTGACTGATTCTGTGATTAGCCCCACCCTGATGGGCTCCAGGGAGCAAATACCAGACAGATGCAGGCAGGAGAGCAAGGCCCTCAGCCAAACCCTCACTGGGATGTGCCCTTCCCATCTGGAGGAGCCTGGAAGGGAAACAGGAGATCCCCTGACCCTCCATCCTCACCACCCAYTGTGGCTCCTGGGCTGGTGGACCTGTTTCAAGGGATTTGCTCATCTCCCCTTCCCAAATGCAGCTCTGCTTACATTTTATCTGSAAACATTGGCTTGTTGCATATTTTGGAAGAACCATTGGTTCCCAAAGCCTTGCTTACTCCCTATTTTTATCTGCTGGGCCCAAAATAGCTGATGAATTCTTTATGGATCCAAGTCTGGGGCTGGCTGCAGCCAGGGCTCGGCCTCCTGCTTTYGTGGCTGAGTGACCTCGTGGCACAAGGCTGCAGATGCCAGGCAATGAACAGAGCAGTGCCATGCGAGCTCTGGATCCACTGGTGTTTCTCCACAGGTGGGTGTGGAAGCAGGAGGCTTCCCAGCAGGGATGGTTCCTAGCTGGGATGGCCTAGGCAGGCTGGGATCACAGGGCAAGCAGTACTCAGTGTTCACCAAGCCTCTCTTCGCTCTTCCATTTGAATCTCCTCTGTTTATTTATCCACAAAAGGCCAAAGTTATTTGCAGAGCGTATCTTGTGAGGCTTTTTCCATCCAAAGAGGTCCCAGATGGAATGGGATCGGTGCCTCCCTCCTGCTGGGTGCTTTTCGTTTTGGCAGCCCCACCACCCTGGGATGTCTGGATAACTTTCCTTAAGGTTTAATGAGGTGATTGTGTTAGGGCTGCCTTCTTTTCCATCACAACCTTACCCCGGCACGGTGCCTTTTCATCCTGCCCCAGGACCTTTGGGAAAGTGTTGGGGTGAATGGTGGCAAAGACATCCCTTTCCGGGGGACAAGGAGGGCAACTGGACTTTGGGTGTCTGCTGTAAGGTGGCCATCTACCCTGAGCTGCTGGAGACTCCAGGAGTCACAGCGGGGGAAGCCCAGGGTACAGGAGGAGGTGGCCCCCAGCCAGCACAGAATGGGAGTGGGACAGTGACACTCACCCGGTATTCAGCAGAACTGACGGGACTTCCAGCCCTGAGAACCAGCCTCGGAGGGAGGGAGCCAGCGCATCTGCAAAGGCAAGGGGAACACGAGGTGAGAGGGGGGTGGCTGCCCACCCTGGTGACATCAGGCTGCTCCCTTTTCCTGCCTTTTCCCAGGCACAGGGCGGAGGGAGGTTGGAACACAAACACTACAGCCACCCCAGCTCCAAGTSCAACAGTAACACTGGGGCTGAGCACAGCCCCTGACATTGCTGCTTCCAGAAGGATGGAGCAGGGACGACAGCACCATGGTCCCACTGAGCAGGASTGAGCTCATCCTTCTCAGCTCCTGCAGAGCCCACTTGAAACAGGGCGGAAAATATCAGATGCCAAAATTTGGCGTGCAAATTCAGTGCTCTGCCAGATGACTCCAAGTGAGGCCCAGTGTCCATCCTGTGGTTCCTGGTCCCACTGCTGTCTGCAGGATCCAGTGAAGCAGCTCCAGTTTGGATGGTCGAGCAGTCTCCAGTGCCCTCCCAGCAAACCCACAGTGCTGGCAGCTGCACAGGAGGAGGGGGAGGTGCCACCTCCACCCTCCCCACCACGCTGATATTTCACATCAGATAACACTGCTTCTGTCTAACATCAGGTCTCGGCCTGGGTTTTCCCCAAGGACCCTCAGAGCTTCCGTATGCCTCCGCTTCCTTGGCTGTGCGCTTCCCCGAGCAGGGCAGGTGCTGCCTGTTAGCAGTTATTTGACAAGGCAAGTACGTAGCTGTAATAATATTTACCACTGCTCTTCCTATGAACAGCAGGGCCCAAAAGGATGGAGTTTCATCCAAAAGCTGTGGATGGTTTGCATGCTGAGCACTTTTCCTYACCCTCCTGCTCAAACCAGCCCTTRGCTGCTCCACCTCCTAGTGATGGTGGCTCTGGATAACCTGGCTCAATCCTGCCAGGCCAAGGCCAAAATCCTTTTGGATGCAGTTTATCCAGCAAATCTGTTTCCAKGCGCTTGTTTCCTCCTGCTCATCACTGAGCTGGAGCCGACAGCAAGGAGTGAAAACCGGGATGAYGTCCAGCACGGGTGCTGAGGAGGCAGCTGCCCTTTCCCCCCCCAAGGCAGGGGTCTTGCCCCAGCTGATGCTGCAAGGCTGGCACCGCAAAGAAATCCTCTTCCTCTGCCATTTCCCCTTCTCCTTTTTCCCCTGCTCCTCTCCCAGGCGGATGGTTAATTTTTAACAGGTACATGCTGCCATCGGGGGCCACCAGCAGTGGCAGAAAGGCAGCACCTCGTCAATAAAAGATGGCTGCTCCATTTGTGCTGCGCTTCCCTCTCCTCCCCGTCAGAGCTGCTTGGCTTCACAGCCCACATCCGGCACGCCTCATCCCAGCAATGCTCCAGGGGCAGCCAGGGCTTCTGGAGCCCTCATGTCACACTGGCAGCYGGATGGGTGCTTCGGTGCCAGGAGCAATGGGGATGGCCCAGACCCTGAGAGCGTCACCATCCTTCCCTCCTCTCTCCCAGCTGCCCCACCACAGGCACCAGCGAAGGTAGGAGGGCACAGAGGTGGTTGGGGAGAGATAGGACCCCTGTCAGTGCTCAGCTCCCTTTGGGAGCCTTCCCTAAATGTCAGGGAGTGGGAGGGAGTGCCTGTTAGCCGGGCAGAGTTAGTGGTGCGGGGAGCACCCAAGGGAAGGGGAGGGTGAGCGGTGATGGTGGATGGGTCAGAATTACCTGGGCGTGCAGCGAAGCGGGATAGGTGAAAGCAGGAGGAGGTAGAGCAGGTGCTAATTCCGCTGGGTACAGAGGGTACGGCCCCCACACTTCAGGGCTACTGGGGTAAAGTGCAGGCACTGTGAGCTCATCTGCAAGAGAAGAAGAGGGAGAGTTAACAGTGATGGCAGGGCTGCAGCCCTCGCTGTGTCCTTCCTTCTCCCCCCGAGGCGGGAGAAGAGCTGCCCCAGAAAAGTGGGAGATGCCACCAAGAGCCGACGCGCAAAGCCAACACAGAATTTGCCCGCTGGGATAACGTGGGGCAAGCGATGCTGTGGGGCTGGGGGCATCATTTCCAAGAGGTTCAGTGATCCTGGGGATCCAGCAGAAGAGAGTGTGCAGCTCATGCCTGTGTGCAACAGCGAGGGGAGGAACCAGCGTCCGTGCGAGAGAAGCTCCTCCAGAAGCAGAAACAGGTACGGAGCACTCACAGCAGCAGTCTCTGCTGAGACCTCATCCTGCTCCCAGGCACTGTGCCAGGCTGGCTGTCACCTGTCCCAGGTCCTCTCCAGCACAGCAGCAGCCTTTGGGAATCCCCAGCACGTGCCACCACGCAGCAAGCASGTACTGCTGCTTCCACTTGGAGCTGGCATTCCCCTTCACCACCCCACTGAGGCATCCCTGCTCCTTCCAGCATCCCAGACCATAGACCTGGCACGCCACATCCACCYGTGATCTCTGCATGACATCACATTCCTGGAATAAAGGGTTTTCCCGAGGATGGCCCCTGGTGCCTGCCACCCCGAACCCTGCTGGCCGTGCAGGGTGTACTCACAGGGCTCCCGGGCGATGAACTGAGGTACTGCRGTGGGGAGAGGGGTGCTGGGGTTCGGGGTGCCCACCAGCTTGTTCTTGGCCATCTTGGTGTTGGCCTTGGCAAACTCCAGCCGCAGCGTCTGCGGGATCTCGGGGTCGAAGCGGATGCCCTGGGGGAAGGAAGGAGGGAAGGAGGCGCGGCGGGTGGGCGAGCACCGCCGCGTGCCGGCCCCGCAGCAAAAATAACTCCCCGTTATTTATGGGTTTTTTCAACTTCCAGCCCTGAAATGAGCTAATTTGCCGGGCCCCGAGGCGGCTCGCATTCCTCCGGCATCTTTAGCATCGGCACCATATTTGGCAGTCGGCATCCCGCAAGGCCGAGCTCTTATCCAGAGGGATTAGCAGAGCCAGAAAAAAAAAAAGTTTTACATTGAAAATGAAGACAAGGAAAAAAACCAACCCCAAACCAAAACGTGGGGAGCACTGGGGAGGAATTTGAGAACCAGCTCCACATGGGTCTGCCAGGGACTATTTCCAGGTAACTTCTTGTTGCRAAAAGAAAGTGAAATTTGTTTTCTCTTTTTGCAGACATAACTGGGATTTTTCCTGCTGAATAAACAGGAGACGCTAGGAATGCTGCCTCTGACTTTTATCTACGGCAAAAATCCTGAGTTTTGAAGCCCTCCTGGATGGCCCTGAGAAAGGTGAGAGGGGTGCAGCCCCCAGGGGATGGGGATGCCATGGAGCTAGCTGGCATGGGAGATGCACATCCCTGGGACAGAGGAATTCAGAGAATATCTGGGGACAGGGAAATGGAAAAATGGAGTGGCTGGGCCAGGCACACTCACGTTCAGCGCGTTCTTCGCTGCCTCCGCCTCGGAGCGGCTGTCAAAGCTGACGAAGCCCACGGGCTGTGGAGGAAGGACAGGAGGCATCAGTCAGGTTGGTGGGGGGCAAAAGGGGGAGCCCCTCACCCCAGGGAATGGTGGGATGTTTGCCCCCCTTGGAGCAGCTCCTACCTGCTTGGAGGTGAGTTTGATGAGAGACCCTTCGTACCCCTGCAAGGAAGGAACAAAGGGTGTTTGTTGGAGATGCCCACGATTAAATAATAACTGAATAAACTGACTGAAATAAACTTTGTGAGGAGAACCTGTAGGCTCCCAGATCCCAGCAAGTTGTTTGGGGCCATGGGACTAAGGCAGGGGTCAGGCCCATGTTTTCAGCCCCACTTTCCCTCCCCARTTTGTTACCTTAAAGGGTCTGAACAGCAGGTAAAGTTCTCGGGGCTTGATGTCCAGAGGCAACCCACTGACAAAGAGTGTCCTCACCTGGAAAAGAAGAAAGGAGGTTCCTGGGGACCTCTCTCATCCCATACTTCCTGCAACCAGAGAAACTAGCTAGCCCAAGGGGAAGGGACCTCCTGGGCAGCCAAAAGCCTTAAGCCACACTTGAGTGATGCTGAATTTTTAGGAGGGGTGTACTCATCCTTCAGGTGGCCCCGGAAGAAGCTGCCAAGGCACCATGGAAAGGTAACAGAGACCTGTCCTCSCCCCTCTAAGTGCTCTCCAGGACAAAGAGCTCGCAGAATCCCTTCCTACCCCAGGCTGGCAAACAARATTTGTCCCGTCATCTCCAGCGGATCCCCAGCAGATCCCAGACTCCACAGACAATGCCTATTGTCTCAATTTAATTGCAGCAGCTCATTAAGGAMGGGGAGAAGTAAACCCCAGCTCTTCCTCCTGGAGGAATGGCCCTGGTTTGGACGGAGCTGGATTGTAAAAGTCACCATTTAAGGGGTTTTTATCCTTTTTGGGTGAATCTAATGTTTGTCATGGTGCAGCATTCTAAAAGCTGGGGTGTTTGGCAGAAATCCTGCTCCCAGCACCCCCAGGGGGAATATGGGACTTCTCAGGGTTGGGCAAACCCTGTGCTGGGATGGTTTTGCTTTCCAACCAGCTCGTAACCAGGAGAGCAGTGTGGGGAACTGGATCTGCTGCCGKTTCATCTCTCCTCATCCCCAAAATCTCATCCAAACATTTTGAGCTGGAGGAGGGAAAACCTCGATGTATTTTATTTAATTTTTTTGGCCAGGCACCCTGCCTRCCCCATTCCCTGGGAAAGAGACATGGGAAACAGCCAGAAACARCCAGCCCAGGCCTATTCTTTTGCTGACATTTCTTCTTTCTCTTGCAGATAAGCTATCTCCCGCATCTCCCAGCCTGAGAGCAGCAAACATTCCTGCTTTGTGGAACAAAACCTCTGGCTGACCTATATCTATTAAATAACAAAAGGTACTCGAGCTGTTTGCACATAGCCTTTGTATCAACACCCCGGTGATGCCCATCCTGGGTACCAACGTTATCATCACCATCATCATCCCTGCGGGTACCAGCATCCAGGCTGGATGAGATCAGGGGASCAAGGATATCCTCACCCCGTCCTGAGCCAGGGCTGCAGGCAGGCACAGCCTGGYAGCCTGTGCCCTCCACTGGGACTGTCCAAGGTGGGTGGATGCCCCCAAAGCAGCTTAGGGGATCCCTGCCAGCTTTCTGCCTGTCTTATGAGACCAGGGGGGGATGGAGCATCCCSAAGTGTTCAGTGCTGCTCCATCCCCCAATAGAGACACTGGGGGGGATTCACCTGGAGGAGCTCTGCTTGTGGCCGTGAAATTCAGCATAAAGAAAGGAAACTTTTCCTTTCCTCAGGGAAGAAATACTCCCTTTCACACAGGTCCACCTGAGCACAGGGAATTGGCTCCCTGGACACATCCACCCTCCCAGCTGCGTTTGCCTCCCRAGGAGGCTGAGCATCCCTGCACAGTGTCCCCTGCCTCCATCGTCCCTGGAGCCATGCCTGGCTTTCTGCCTCCCCTCTCCCTGGGGAGCTTTGAGGAAACACCGAGGCGTCGGTGACAGCTCCAGTGACAGAGAGGGGGTGGGGAGAGCRGGGGAACCCTCTGCCAGTGTGCAGCATCCCTGAAATCCAAACCCCATGTGCCCAAGCTTGCCAGACCATTTATCCCTAAAGCCACATGGGAGAAAGACAGAAGAGATGAAAGATCCCGAGGAACCCTCCAAAATTCAGCCCCACAGAGGAAGGGCTTCTCTAATGACTTGTTTTCTTTGCAAGTTCAAACGCRGGTCGGCCAAGTTTGAATCTGTAAAATTATACAGCGGCAAGAGAGAGAAGGGCTCCAAAGGATCACCCAGCTGGATTCCAGCCCCAAAAGGGTGTTTGGGGCCCGGGGCAGGGGATTGATYCAAGCTCCTGGGTGCTCCCCATCTGCACCCCACAAATGTACCCAGCCCYGGGGATGTTTGAGTAGGTCCCAGGTAAACAGCATCCTTTCGCTGGGTAGAAAGCAGGTGGGACTGGCAGAGTGAGGGAGCATCCTTGGGGATAATCCCAGCAGGCTGGACAGATACCCTTTTGCCAAGGGAAAGATTTTAGGCAGAAATATTACTCCTGCCCTTAAATGGAAGGGGAGCTTTGGCTCGCAGGGAGCTGCTCCAGGTTTTCTTGTCTGAGAYATCCCAGGAATTCAGTCCCCATCCTTTACCAGAAGCACTCTTAGGGCAAAATCCTGCCCTGAAGCAGAAAAAAAAAGCCTTACAGAGAGAAATTGCCAGGGGGCAGGTGTATGCTCTTCCACAGGGAAGAATTATTCCTTCTGGGAAGTGGATCAGGCACACACCAAGGATGTCATGGGACAGAGCCACACCTACAGCTCTCGAGGCAAGGATTAAAGGGCGTCTGAGCATGGGATTCCCCCAGCCCAAACCCCCTAGTTTTTTTGGACAGCCTGAGCTGTTTTGGTTTCGGTTCTGCTCTACGAACAATTTTCAGTTCCTTTTTTCGTGGAGCATTTCTCCATCTCTCCTTCTTCTTAAAACTTGAGATGAAAGCAAAGATTTTTTTTCCAAGTCAGAAGTGTTGATGTTTGCTCCAGGAAGCTGCTGGCCATGGGTGCAGGAGCTCAAACCTTGATTTCCTTCCATGGGGATGACTTTCCACAGTCCTCCTCTGCTGCTGCACCCCACAGCTCCCAGATTTGCCAGGGCTGCTGGATCCCACCCGTGTTGTCCCCCTCCTGGTTTTTGTTGCTCCTGCAGGAAATGTGCATTTCACCTCTGCTACTCTCCTCTCCCTTGGAAACCATCCCACTTCTGGCTCATCTCTCACACCTCTGCATCCCACCATCCCATTCTGTTGTCCCTGAAATTCCACATCCCATCTGGGGCCAGCTGAGGGGATGGAATGGGACCGTGGGGGTTTGCTGGGATGCTCAGGGATAGGGACATGCAAAGGGAGGTGAAGTTCTGTGCCAGGAGGTGACTGTGTTCTCCAGAGCGTGGACCCGGGATGGCACCAGCACGGAGAGGTCAGAGCACCAGCAGTCCTCCTCCTCTTCCTCACACGAAACCAGATTTGTTTCCCCAGGGTAAGGAGGCACCACGGGGGCATTTTCCTGGCTCGGACCTCATCAGATGGCCCGAAGGGATGCCGGGTGAGTCTGCCGGCACAGTCCCACTGCCGGTTCCCTGCCCTGCCCGAACCACCCCCGGTAAACGTTAACAGGCCATGGGGAGGCGGGAGGCGTCCGGGTGATTCATCCACGAGGCATTTAATCGCCTCCTTCAGCCCAGCTCCCGTCCCTCCGKCCGGCCGCCCCTTCCAGCGGGGCTCGCTTTAATTCTCCACCAGCCGATTATCCGCCTGACTGCCCGCCGCCGGGGAGGCACCGGATCGCTGCGGGAGCGGGCGGGCGATGGCACGGGGCTGCCACCGAGCCGCGGAACAGGGCGAGCAGGGCTTCCCCTCCCATTCCCGGCAAAGCGGGGTGCTGCCTCCCCCGCGSCGGGGTGCATTCCCGCCCCGCCGGGATTAGTCCTGGCATAAATAGTCTCTTGGCTAATGGAGCGGCTTCCTCGGCAGGGTTTAGATTCCCGGGCTGTGTGTACGCATGCCTTCAGCCCGCAAAACTCCCCGACATAAACAAGGCTGAGGCCGAGGGATGCCGGCTCCTCGGCCCGGGGGATGCGGGAGGACCGGGATTATCTCCGGCYTGGCCACCCGTAGCCGTTTCCCTGGGGAGCCGCGGTTCTCGCACGYCCGGTGAAGGACGGGAGGAGAGGAACAGCCCTTGGGGAAAAGCGAGTCCAGAGCTGCCGGGGCTGGAACGAGGAAGCGGCAGAGGAAAAGGCAGTGAGCAGCCAAGGGAGCAGATGGGGGATTGCAACAGAGCGGAGGAGCGGCGGGATCAGGCGGGGGTCACACATGTCCCTGTCCCGCCTGGAGCTTGCTCCCAAACCCTCCGCACCCCACGCTTCAGGGAGGAAAGAAAGGAAGCAGGAGCACGGGGGGAAACAACACAGGGGCCGAGGGGCCAAATTTTATCCGCTCGCTGGGCACATTCCCCCAGAAACCATCCCCGGGGTCCCCTTCCCATACCACGGTTCCCCCGAGATGAAGGATCTGGCACGGTACAGGGACGAGGGCCACGAGCCGGGCTCTTCCCAGCCACTCCGCTACCAAATAAGGCCTCCGCCGAGCCTTTTACATGCCGTTCTCGCCCGGCCGAAGTGACGTGACCGCCYTCCCAAATTGTTCTGGCTCCTCCGAGGGGAAGCCCCTGGCCCAGAGCTCCCCTGCACGGGGGGGTTCTTCCCAGGGGACAGACGATGGGAATGAGGAGGCCACCCGGGGTGACAGGAGCAGGCAGGRGGAGCGGGGCTCAAGTGGGGGCTTTTCCCACCTGGCAGCACCCTGAGTGACCTCCCGGGATGGGCGCTGCTTTTCCCTCTTTTCGGAGGGCAAGCCCTGGGAGGGGGAAGGTGGGGCACAGTAGCTGGGCAACCCCCTTCCCCTCCGTTTAAACAAATAGCACCGGCTCCTCTAGCCCGGGCTGGAAAAACTCCTGCAGGGAAAATACCTGCCTGGTTTCGGAGGAGCCCGGCTTGCAGGCACGAGTGACCACCGCCCTCTTCATGTGTGCCCGCCACTGTGGGTGTCCCTGGCACCTCCCAGCCGTCCCCTCGTGGGGCTCCCCGTGTCCAGCATTTCTGGGGGTCCCTRAGGATCAGCAGTGCAAGAGGCGGATGCAGCCGGGAGCAGAGCACGGAACAGGCCATGGAAAAGGCAACAGGCCTCCATGGATGTCTGCCACCGCCGTGCCCAGCCGAGCCACAGCCGCAGCATCATCTCCCAGACACCCCGCAAGGCCACCACTGGAAAAAGTCCCCGTTATTTAGGAAACTTTGGGAAGTTTGAAGCCAGAACCACCTCTGGAATAAGCAAATGAAGGCAGCCAGCAGCGGGCGATGGAGCTGCGGTGATCCCAGCGTCAGCCACCAAGCAGGGATCCCAGCAGGGAGCCAGCAGCGACCTGCYGGAGCAGCCCAGCGGGTGGAGGGTGAAGAGGAAGAATAGATCTCAGATAGGAATCTTCCCGCTCTCACCCTCCCAAAGTCCAAACTCCCATCTCAAGGTCACGGGCAAAACCAGGAACTTTGCGGCTGGAATGAAGAAAACCAGTTCTCACCGTGGCGGGGTGTGGGGTTGGTCTCCCGTGGGGATGGGAGCGTTTCGGTCATCTTTAGGGTGAGACCCACGGGAAAGAGATGCGCGGCCGCTGCATGCACGGTACCCACCGGCACCGGCAGCACCACGCACCGGGACCGGGACCGGGGGGAGCCTGGTTTGCCCCCTCGGACAGATGCGTGTCTCGAGTGGGGTTCCCCGCGCCCGCAGGATCCTTCCGTCGAGGCGGAGGAGCGTTTGCGGGGAGCCAGGGGGGATGCGGGCGGTGAACGGGGGTGYTCCCGAGAGCGGGGATGCGCTCCCGCCGCTCGTCCCTGTCTCCCCCGCAGCAGCCACGGCTATCGGGAGCCGCGGAAACCGACGGGACCCCCTCGGCGCGGAACCCCCATCCCGCGTGGGTGCGTGGGCACCCGYGGAGCGCAGCCCCCGGGGGTCGCGGGTGGGGAGGGAGATGCCGGAGCCCCCCTCCTCCGCCCCAGATCCCCGTGTGTGTGTCCCCGGTACCTCCTCCTCTGGCAGGCCGGTGTCGGCGGGGCCGCTCTCCCGGTCGGCGGGGACGCTGCTCATGGTGCGACCGGCCAGGCTCCTCGTCCCGCCGGCGGCAGCCGCGTCCGGGCGGGCGGCGCTGGAGGCTGGTCCCGGCGGCGGCGGGGGGGACGGGGCGGGGCGGCGCGGCCGGGGAGGGACGGGGCGGGGGCGCGGCGGAACGGCGGGGACGGAGCGGGGCGCGGGGGGATGGAGCAGCGCGGGGTGGGCGCGATGCGGGGCTGGGAACGCGGGACACGGGGCTGAGGGACACGGGACACGGTGCCGGGAGCACAAGATACGAGGCTGGGGACACAGGACACAGCTGGGAATACAGGACAACCCTGGAGACATGGAACACCGTCTAGGACATGGGGCTGGGGACACAGGATACAAGGCTGGGGACACGGGGCACAAGGACGGGGAGATGGGCACTGTCCCGGGGACACGGGACACGGGCTGGGGGTATAGGACAGCGCTGGGCAGATGGGACACAGTCCCGGAGACACGGGACATTGACTGAGGATACAGGATGGAAGGTTGGGGATACAGGACAAGGACACAGTGCTGGGGTCACAGGACAAAAGGCTGGGGACATGGGGCATGGTTCCAGGGTTGTGAATGCGTCAGGGCTGTGGGGCAGAGGAGGGGACACTGCTGGCGACACCGGGTGCAAGGCTGGGGGCAGTGTGGGGGACCAGTGGGGGCTCATCACCCCAACCAGCCCCACCTGGGTGCTCAACCCCTCCCCGTCCGTGCCCAGCCATTGTATTTAGGCTTCCTGCTTAGGCTGGGCTTTTGTTGAGCCCGTGCTGGGCCTGGCATSGAGCACACTTCATTCCAGAGCTCTGTGTCGGGTTTTTTCAGCCCTGCATAACCCCAAGGAACCGCCTGTGGTCCCGCAGGGCCGCACTCGGCCCCGGAGCAGCGTGAYGGAGCCCCTCGGGGTGGAGAGCGGCAGCTGCGGCCAGAGCAGGTGCTGCCTGCGCACAATGCTCGGGGAGCGGAGGTGACGCCGAGGACATCCTGCCGTGGCACAGGGCTCCTTCCCAACGGGCGCTTAAGGTCACYGCTCGCCTTTCTGCGCCTCACCGGCCGAGACAGAGCTGGGGGCAGCTGCCTGCGTGTCCTGCCGGCTGCCCAGGGGACACAGCTTGGCCACCGCCGGCTTTGCAGCCTCCTCGCAGCAGTGATTTACAGGGCAGAACCTCTCCTGCCGGGAGCGAGTTGGAAATGAGCTGCGCCAGGTGGATTTAGGGGAGCGGGAAGTGTCTGGCTACAAGGGCAGCTGACTCCCAGAGGGAATCAGAGCACAGGGACCAATCTAATCACCCAAATCTGCTGGAGCCTCTGGCTTTTGGGGTAGGTTTTCAGCAGGGGGAGAATGTGATGTGTTTTATCTCCCGTTGTTTCCCCCCCAGCACAGACACAAAAGGTTCTGGCTGGACAGCAGGCGGGACAATATTCACAACCCTTATTTGGACTCAGCTTTGGGGAAGAGCTGCAGCGCTGGAACCCAGTTTGGAATCCCAAACCAGAAAAAGGGCAGGTTTGGATTTTTCGTAGCCATCAAACTGGGCGTGGGGAGAAAATCCAATTGGCTCCAGCGGCTATTGCACTGCTTCCTCGCCTTGGAACCCCACGTGCCAAGCCAAAATCCCGTGTCCCCACATTAAATGGGGGTTCTTCTGTGGTGGTTGCTGATGCCCTCTCTTCTCTCCCTCTTTCCTACAGGAATTTCTGCTGCAGCATCGATGTCCATCTGTGCCAGGACAGAAGACTGGATTGTGTCACACAGGGATAGAAGGGGAAGTTGTGGACGATGGGGACTCTGTGGCTGGGAAGCGTGGCGATTCTCGAGGCTTCAGTGGAACAAATGGAGGAGGTTCAGCTCCGTTCTGGGAGGTAAACCGAGCAGGAGCAGCCTTCGGGGGAAGGGGCAGAGGGTGACACCRGGTCCGTGGAGCCTTTCCCATCCCAGGGCCGGCGTGGATGCGGATGCGGGGCCGGGACCCCCGAGGAACGCGGGGCCACATCGCCCTCTGCCGGCGCGACGGGCGAGGAGCGGGGAGGTGGCACCGGGGCTGTCCCCGGGAGTGACGTGTGACACCCGCCCYGACCGCGCTTGTGTGACCCAGGCACTGCACACTGCAGTCAAAGGGCTGCGGTTCCCTTGGACAGAACAGGGGGTGTTTTATTCCCAAAACAAAGCACGAACAACAGAGTTAACRCGTGAGAGACAACAGACACAAAGCAGGTCTGAGATTCCCAGTGTGAGATAAATAAATGACACAAATAAGCAAGAAATCGATTGATGGAATGAGGGATGTGAAGACCGGATGCTTCCTGGAGTGTGCGGTGCTTCCCAGGACCAAACACCGGAACAGGCACTGGAAGCAGGGGGTGAGTGCTCAGCTCTTGACAGGGGTGGACGAGGCCTTCACGGTCTTCTTCAGGTGGTGRTAGTTGGGCAGGATCTTCATCAGGAAATCCAGCTGCAGTGTCTGGGGCTGGAAAGGGAGGCAGGGGAGGTGAGGGAGCAGCCRGAGGGGAGGTGGCAGCGTGTCCCCGTGTCACACACGCACCTGCGGCCGCTCGGTCTGCACGCGCCGCAGGCAGTCGGCCCCGTAGATGACGGTGTTCTCCGGGATCACCTCGTACGTGTTGACGTTGCAGCAGGCGCCGATGATGCAGCCGCTCGTCAGGATCACGTTCCTGCCCACAAACGCTGCCAGGGAGAGGGAGAGAGAGGAATCCCTGTGAGGATTGTCCCCACAGCATTTATAGGAGCGCGATGGTAAGCTGAGAATTACCTTTGGATTCAATGACGTTGTTGTCTCCCACCTTCATCGCTTGGGAATCTAYAGGTCTGTGCTAAGCAAAACTGTAAAATGCTTTGCTTTTTTTTCGACAGGTGAAAAACCCTGATGCCATTTTCAAAGCACCACCCAGCCCTGGGCCACTTGAACCCTGACAGAGCCCACAGATGCTTCCCCCTGGAGGGATCCAGAAGCACAGATGGTTTGTCCCTGCACAGAAAGGATACAGCACCCGACCTCAAAAACATTGTTGGTGCCGATGACCATGGGCTTGGGCTCCACATCTTCACTCTCTGGGGTTATATTCTCTGGATAGCTGCAGGAAGGAAGAACACATTTCCGTGCCTGAGATCATGATGACAGTGTCCTGCGTGGCAGCTGGATTTTGTGACAGGCTGAAGCTATGGATATCCCACCCAACTGAGCTGGATTGTCAGAATTTCCAGACTGCTTCTACTTTGTCAGCTTAAGGAGGATACAAACGGGGCATTTAGCAACCTTGCAGTGTCTGAAGGGGCCCTACAGGGAGGCTGGAGAATACTCTGTCACTCTGCAGTGACAGAACAGTGAGTAATGGGCAAGCATTTAAGGAGGGAAAATTTGGGTTAGTTATATGTAAGAAAAYCTTTACACTGAGGGGCGTGAGACACTGGAACAGGTTGCCCAGGGCAACAGTGGCTGCCCCAGCCCTGGAAGGGCTCAAGGCCAGGATGGACAGGGTCTGGAGCAACCTAGGACAGGGGAAGGTGTCCCTGCCCACGGCAGGAGGGGTGGTATGAGATCAGCTTCAAGGTCCCTTCAAACATTTAACGTTTGATAATTCTGTGATTCTGTGGCTTCTCCCCAAGCCATAGCGCCACACGTGAACACAAAAGCACGACGTTTGGTGATCTTTTCTTCAATAAACTCTACCTCCCCAGTGTTTTTAAGCCCCCCCGGGTGTGGCACGGACCCGTTGATGATGAGCGCCTGCTCCTCGATCAGGTTCCCTTCCCCGATGACGATGGGCCCCGCYTCGGCGATGATGCGGGCCTTGGGATGGATCACGGTCCTGGGCCCTGCGGGGACAGCCCGGCGTCACCCCGCGCCGCTCCCCGCGGGGCCGGGGGTGGGGAACGGGGCCCTTACCGATGGTCACGTCCCCGCGGATCTCRCTCTCCACGCACACCACGGCGCCCGGCGCGATCTTCACGCTGCGGGGAGCGACGGGGCGGTCACGGGGGGTCCGGCCCGGGACCGGGCGGAGAAGCGGGGAGCGGAGGGCGCGTCCCGGGGTGGGTGTGGGAGGAATCGGGCGAGAATGGGGAGGGATCTCGGGGGGATCGGGACTCACCTCTTCTGCGCCTTCTCCGCCATGGCCGCGGCCAGCGGCGCCTGCGCGGGGCGGGGCTCCGGGGCTGCGGGCGGTGCCGGTCCCGGCAGTGCCCCCGCCCGGCCTGACCGCTCCTCCCGGAACCCCCGGAACCCCGGGAAGGGCGGGGCGGGGCCTGCCTGGCACAGGTGAGGAAAGGGGCGAGGAAAGGGGTGTGGCTGAGCCGGGCACCGGGAAACAGAAACCGACTGGTGTTTGGGGTTTCAGAGAGAATCCTGCGTGGTCGTGCTTGACAAACAGACACCGGCTCCCGTGTTTGGGCGGACCAGGCCCACCTGGCTCGCTTTAGGGTCCCGAAATAAATAAATCAGGCAGGTTGGTTTTTTTTTGTTTTTTTTATGGTTCAGAGATGAACACCAAGTCCTGTGTTTTTTGGGGGGCTCCAAGTCCCGCGCTGGGAACCAGCCCCRGCTGGGCAGTCTTAGGGCGGTGAAACACACTCGAGTCCTGTTTGGGGACGGCGAAACGAGGCTCATCCAGGCATTTAAGGGTTTGAGCAGAGAGCCCCAATCCTGCATTTTGGGGTCAGGACAGACCCCAGACAGGTGAGGGGG